TTTTTTTGATGGAGTCTTGCCCTGTTGCCAGACTGGAGTGCAGTGGTGCTATCTCAGCTCACTGCAACCACTGCCTCCCAGGTTCAAGCAATTCTCTTGCCTCAGCCTCCTGAGTAGCTGGGATTACAGGCACGCACCACCACACCCAGCTAATTTTTGTATTTTTAGTAGAGACAGGTTTCACCATAGTGGCCAGGATGATCTCGATCTCTTGACCTCTTGATCCACCTGCCTCAGCCTCCCAAAGTGCTGGGATTACAGGCATGCACCACCACAATCTTTAGCCCCTGTATTTTTCTAGTATTCTACAAATAAATCCCGGAAAAGTTGGGTAAGTGTTGGGGAAAGTTATAGGGAAGGAAACAAAGCGAATAAGATTACTATGGAAAAGACATCTTTACATACAAAACAACTGTTTATAACATTTTGTTTGAGCAGCAGTTTACTCCTAACCTAATGGTGTGTTGGATTGAATCATGAAACTGCTGGGCTTTGGCTATTTTTTAACCTGTAAAACTGGCAGTTTCATGTGTTTTAACCTAATACTTAGTTATTTTACTATGTATTCAAGATTTAGAAAATTTGGAGTTGGAGCAAGTGTAATGCATTATAATTTTTCCCATTTGAAAATGGAAAATGAGACCAGGCACAGTGGCTCACACCTGTAATCCCAGCACTTGGGGAGGCCGAGGCAGGTGGATCACCTTAGGTTAGGAATTCGAGACCAGCCTGGCCAACATGGTGAAACCCCGGCTCTACTAAAAAATGCAAAAATTAGCTGGGCATGGTGGTGTGCATCCAGATACTAGGGAGGCTGAAAAATTAGCTGGGCGTGATGCTAGTCCCGGATACTAGGGAGGTTGAGGCAGGAGAATTGCTTGAGCCCGAGAGGCAGAGGTTGCAGGGAGCCAAGATCGCACCACTGCACTCCAGACTAGGAGACAGAGCGAGACTCAAAAACAGATTACCCAGTTTTGTAAGTTTCCAAAATTTTAGCCCAAACCAAAATCTTTGGTGATGTAAATAGTGTTTAAGTACTGTTGCCAACGTTTGAATCCTGACTTTAAAAAATAAATATCTCTTGGCAAGTACTAGAGCCCAAAAAAAGAAAAAATAAGTAAGTAGATATCCTTTTAAAATGTTGCCCATAACTATTCTTTTTATCCTTCTTTCTTTATTATTATTTTTTGGAGACAGAGTTTCAGATTAATGTGATTCTCCTGCCTCAGCCTCCCAAGTAGCTGGGATTACAGGCACCCACCACCATGCCTGGCTAATTTTTGTATTTTTAGTGGAGACAGAGTTTTACCATGTTGACCAGGCTGGTCTCAAACTCCTGACCTCAAATGATCTGCCTACCTCAGCCTCCCAAAGTGCTGGGATTATAGGCCTGGGCCACCAAGTCCATCTGTTTATTTTTTGAGGCAGGGTCTCATTCTGCCATCCAGGCTAGAATGCACTGGTGTGTTCATAGCTCATTGTAGCCTTGAACTCTTGGGCTCAAGAAATTCTCCTCCTTCAGCCTCTCAAGTAGCTGGGACTACAGATGCACATCACCATGCTCAGCTAGCTTTTTATTTTTATTTTTAGTAGAGATGGCATCTTGCTGTTTGCCCAGGTCGTGAACTCCTGGGCCCAAGTGATCCTCCTGCCTCTACTTCCCAAAGTGCTGGCATTACAAGCGTGAGCAATAGCACCCAGCCTCTTTTTTTTTAGTTGGCATTCATGTGCTATAAGTTGTCCATCTTTGCTCTCAACTGTGATACTACTTTTTACCTTGCCAGTGTTTCTTTAAAGGATACTCTTTAGGTGTTGAGTTGTCTCTAGATTCTTTGCCCTGGCAGTTTCCATTTTCTGGGAATTGTTATAAAACATTTCATGGTGATAGTGTTAAAATGGGGATTCATTGGCCAGGCACAGTGGCTCATGCCTGTAATCCCAACACTTTGGGAAGTCGAGGTGGGCAGATCACTTGAGGTCAGGAGTTTGAGACCAGTCTGGCCAACATGGTGAAACTCCATCTCTACTAAAAATAAAAAATAAAAATTAGCTGGGCATAGTAATGCACACCTATAATCCCAGCTACTTGGGAGGCTGAGGCAGGAGAATTGCTTGACTCCAGGAGGCTTGAACCTGGAGGCTGCAGTGAGCCAAGATTGCGCCACTGCCACACAGGGAGACTCTGTCTCAAAAAAAAAAAAAAGGATTCATTTATACAAGCCTTTATTGAAATTGAAATTATAGTGCAGCTTGGTGACTAGTAAAATAATAGTACAAAAAAGGTACTATGGAAAGTGACTGACTGCCTGGGAGAGTTGGGAAGGGCTTCTCAGAGATTAATTGGCCCAGATGAAGGTTAGGTAAGGAAATTTGGGGAATCAGTGCATGTATCAGTCAGTGTGGATGGAGTATAGACAGTAACAACTGGAAGAGTAAATCATAGCAATATTTTGAAGGGGCTTGAGTACCGTGCTAGAGTTTGGACTTTGTTCCATGGGTTTTGGACAGAGCTAGCAGGGATCTTTAAGAATGGCAAGGTAATTAAGTAACATAATGGGAGAGTTGAGTGTAGAAATGGGATTAGGAAGGGACTGATGGTTCACACCTGGAATCCCAACACTTTGGGAGGTTAAGGCAGGAGGATCGCCTGAGCCCAGGAGTTTGAGACTAGCCTGGACAAAATAACAAGACCTTGTCTCTGCAGAGTATATAAAATGAAGTTAGCCAGGTGTAGTAGTGCACACCTGTTGTCCCATGTACTCTGGAGGCTAAGGTAGGATGATTGCTTGAGCAGAGAAGTTTCAGATTACAGTGAGCTATGATCACACCACTGCACTCCAGCCTGGACAACACAGCAAGACCTTATCTCAGAAAAGAAAATAAAACGGGGACTGGTGGCAGGAAGAACAATTAGAAGAGGTTTGTTCAGTATCAGTAATTCATATAAACCCTAACGAATGAATTAAGGTAATAAGTGAGAAAGGGTGGAGGAGTCCCTTGAGCTTATTTTTCAAATTTTTATTATAAAAATCTTTAGACAAATGTAGATAGAATAGTACAGTGACCTTCATGTATCCATCACACAGCTTCATCTGATGTCAATATTTTGTCTGTCTTGTTTTCTCCATTTTCCATGTACTTTCCCCTCTCTTCTAGAGTATGTTAAAGCATATCTTAGGTATAAGAATGGACATTTTTTTGGAAGGGGCAGGGGGTTAGAGTCAAGGGCAATAACCCAGGTTTGTAGCTTCAGAAACTAGTGATTAGTAATACAATTAATTATGAGCTAAGGACTGTAAGAAAAGAAGCAGGCTTATAAAGAGGATGAGATTATTTTTAGACATGTCTGTGGCTAATAGGCATAGGTATTTGAAGAAGTAGTCATTTGTAATTATAAGGCCGGAGCTAGAGATGACATATTAGTAGTGATTATCTAGGTTATAGCTGAATCCATTGTATAGGGTAAAGTCATCCAGGGATGGGGAAAAATCATAGAACTCTGGGAAATACAAGTATTTCAGGAGCTGGCTGAAGAGATGAAAGCAGTGAAGAAGATTGAGAAGGGAAGTTCAGAGAAGTAGGAGAGGAATGATATTCTTAACTAAGACATTTAAATTTGGCCAGGCGCAGTGGCTCACGCCTGTCTTCCCAGCACTTTGGGCAGCCAAGACAGGCAGATCACTTGAGGTCAGGAGTTCTAGACCAGCCTGGCCAACATAGTGGAACTCCATCTCTACTAAAAATACAAAAAAAGTAATCTCACCTACTTGAGGGGCTGAGGCAGGAGAATCGCTTGAACCCAGGAGGCAGAGGTTGCAGCAAGCCAAGATCACGCCCCTACACTCCAGCCTGGGTGACAGAGTGAGACTCTGTCTAAAAAAAAAAAAGAAACAACTTTACAGTCCAGTTGCTCAGTTACACTAGCCACATTTTATGTGCTCAATAGCCACATATAACTAATGGCTATTATATTGGACATTGCAAATATAGAACATTGCCAGTGGCCAGGCACAGTGGCTCATGCTTGTAATCCCAGAACTTGGGAAG